CTCTGCAGGCCTAGCAAGAGTGCAAGAACTTTCAGATCACCACTTATGTTCCTTCTATGATGATCATATTTGATGGCCTCAAGTATAATCTCCATGCTTTAATAAGTTTCTTTCATGTTCACAAAGTCCCCCGGTGGAGCAGCAGTAACTCTTCGGATTTACACTGCTAAAATCAAGGGTGTATTCTTCTCAGTGGGCACAGAAGATAGCCCGATGTGGCTTTGCTATAAGAAAAACACAAACTTATGTTAACAGTATGATCAACAAGAATTGATGGCTTAGTGTTCTCATTGTGTAAAACTACAGCTTTCAGTTTAACTTTAGATGGACCGATAAAAAGTCTTCATACTTGAGGATAATGTTCATACCTATTGCTTCCATTAGTGCATCAACATTTGTACAGAAACACAAAGTATCTTGCATGCTGTAGTGAGAAGTAAGTTCTTGACGATTTCATTAAACTGAAATTCTTGTTCCTGGAGCTAATAAATTCTACTGCTGTAAACGAGAGCCATGAAGTTCCCCATGCTGCTTTGATAGTGACAAGTCATGAATCAAATCATTTAGCTCTTCTTGTGTGATCAGATGAGGTAGTTCATGTTGAGGAGCCACAGGAATAGAATTACTAGATGAAGAGGGTTCATTGTCTTCTTTGTAGGAATTGGTCATGGGTTTGAATCCCTGTTCCACCAAATATGCTTGCCCTTTCAGCCATGGAGGTATTATAATGTGACGTTCAACCCCTTTATTCATTGGTAAAAGAGTAGCCCAAGAGTTGGTTGTGGGTGGTGATGACTAGCTGCCTTCCCTCTAATCTTTTACTGCTAAATTAGGGACATCTAGTGCAGATAGCCCTCGTGTAGCTTTGCACAAAATTCAAACCAGACCTTCTTTGCAGGATAACTCTTCTATTTCCTAATTTGCTAGTGGATGTGACACTGGAAGATCATCTCCAAGAAGTACTGGTTTCATTGCAGATGCAATATCTCGATATTTAATGTATTGTTTAGTTGTGCCTGATGATGAGAGAACCTTGTCGAAACATTGTACATTTGCTGTTATGTTAAATTTATGTTAAAGTTTTTCTTCATTACCCTTTCAAGCCGTTTCCAAGCATTATTAGTCTCAAAGTGGGTTCCTCATCATTGAATTTAAGCATTAGGAAGTTCTTTGCAAAATCAATTGTAAATCCTAGTCATCACCTTAAAGTCATAATGGATATTGTCCATGGTAACAGCACCCAAATGTGTTGGGGATATCCCATCTACTAGACAAATTCCAAATGCTGATGTTAAACTAGCCAGTAATCATGGAAAATCGATTAAGAGAAAGGTGTTGAGTGCTTACACCCACAATGTCTCCTACTGTCTTTCACTGTCTGCAGCCACCTGTTGGAAGGCAGTTACCCTTAAAAGTTCTTCTAATTCCTGAAGTAGAAATAAAATGAAACCATCCTAATATATTTCTACTACAAGTCACTCCTAACCTCCACCCTTAAAAATTCTAATAATTCCTAAAATAGAAATGAAATGCCACCACCTAAAATTTCTACTATATGTTTTATGCTACTCCCAACTTCTGCCCTTACAAAATAAATAAAATAATAAAATATATTAAATAGAAATGAAATAAAAGATCTTAAATAAAATGATCTTAAGCAGAACTACAAGCCACACCTTAATATTTCTTATATAGTTCATACTTCCAACAACCTCCTCTCTTTCTCTTGAAAATGTATTCAAGTATAACATGGGAAAGTGGAGACAAGCCAGATTTGCATCAGATTTATTGAATACTAGCTGATGTACCATCAAATGCATGTGGAAGACACAAAAGCCCTCTGGGATTTGAATTAGAGGGTAATAATCAAATGCCAACCCTGTATTTTACCCCTATACCTATATTTTAAACTTATATTAAAGTTCTTTTTCATTACCTATTCAAGCAGTATCCAAAAATTCTCAATGCTTATTTTATAATAAGATTATTATTGTTTTATAGTGCTGATTTTAATTACCTATGAAAAATTAATGTAAATAATAGTATTGAAGCTATTGATTTCTTTATTTCATAATATATATACATCACATTACTGTTATCAGTCCAGGTTGTCAACTTTAATTTATATTAAAATAACATTGAGGAAAAAATTCATTAAGTTGATTTCATTCTAGGTGTTTTGGTACTTTGTCATTTTTTTGAGGTCATACCTGTTCGTCTCATTGATGAATAGCTGTAGTGCTGCATGTTGTGAAAGAATGTAGACAGCAATTTCAACCCAGTACAAACAACAATCCATTGTTCAAATTGAGTACACACATACTGTGTATGTGTTACATTATCTCTTTCAGCACGGACTAAGTCCCTGGGACTGACCTTGTAACCGTTTTGTGCTTGCTATAGTTTTCATGCTATAACTTTTAAATTAGTAAATGAATGTTAATGAAATTGGGCAGATTATCAGTAAACATTACAATGCTTTCATTTGCAAAATATCAATTTTTTTTATTAAGTCTTAAGGTTTGTAAAGCAATAATTTTTTCGTCTTTTTTTTTTTGCATGTTGCCTATCTATCATGCAAAGTAATATTCATTTTAAGATTAATAATACTTTTATGCATCAGAAAATTTTGTGATTTCACATGCGAAATCTTTATAATGTCCAGATAGTTATCAAACATTTCTTAAGAAAAAACTGTATATTTTATCTGTTATTTTCATTAATTAATCTATGTACAGGTTCAGTAGATTTGACTGATCTCGCAACCACCATTAAAAATCAGGCAATGAATATAAATTATGCTGATCACAAATTATAACACGAAAACATAAATGTTTAGACTAAATAGTTTAAATCTCATAACATTATACATTTATATATATTTATTCCTTTATTATATTGACCTTTCAGCCATGCCTGCTAATAATGTAGAAGTTACAATGACGCGGCTCACTTGCACTCATGTTACCGTATCAAATAACATAAAACTAACCTTTGGTCTGTACAAAGTAACTTATCTTGGCTGTGTTTTAGTAGACTAGTATTTTGTAAAATCCTGTCACATTTCAATTATTATACATTATATATGTATATAGATTATTGCTATTTTGAAGTAAGTTCTTAAACTTATTTTTCTTAACAAACAGAACAGTAAATAAAGAAGTAAAGCAAACAATTATCTCTTCTAGTTACGACCTTTGTACTCAGTTGCTGCTTGACATAGGTTGCTAAGCCTTTAAAAGTTTTGCACGTGGAGGATATGAAACCAAATTTCTTTTTTTTTAGGTTTTATATATATACATTTGAACAACTAAGAAATCATAAATTACTACATCAATACCATAGAATTCCACTATAATTTATCAATTCTAGTAGCTAAGATGTATTTTAGTCTAAAAAAATATGAAATTTAGAGCAGACTAAAGACAAATCCTACCTCTTTGAAATATTGGTTCAAAAGAAAGGAATGGCACCAAGCCCGTTAAAATGGCTGAGAAAGCTACTAGGGACATTCTGAGCTTCCGATTGGTTATTCATGTCATATATAGTAGTAAATGTGTATAAGGGAGCATTTTCAAAAATGGAAAAGAGGTGAGCAGGGTGCCACTATGTTTGATTTATTACATGAGCAATATCTTAGCAAATAAAAGAGATAAGACCTTCTTATTTTATATTCTAGCCTGTCAATATCAGTAATTTTAGTTTTTAATTCATACAAAACTACAGACTTGGTATTTTGACTTCACAAACATCTAATTTGAACCAGTGCTGCATTCAACATACCACGTGACACACAAATATCGATGTTTATCTGTATTTTTTTAATATTTGCTTTTAAATTAAGAAATTGGGTAATGTATAGTACTAAAATTTGAATTATAATCTATAGTTTGATACTAAAGTTATTGACATAAATTCATGAAATAGTAGTTCAATAAAATTTTGAATGTGAGTCAACAAACAAGATGACATGGCCTTTCATGCGTGACCTGTCTCGTAAAGGGTTATAATAAAGATTGTGCTTTTGTATTTTACATTGTATCCATTCTCATGAATTCACATATTCAGAGAAACACAGCATTACTTTGTGATAAATATCTTGTTTAATCTCCTTTTATTCTGTGGACCTATCCCATCACTGTAAAGGAAATTAGTTTGACTTGAATATACTACATTGTCACAAAATTGTCCTTTTGTATTTCAAGAAAAATATTCTAGGTTAACAAAACATTTCTCTAAATACAAAATATAGAACTGCAATACAGCATCTTATATCTTTAGATTAGAGAACATCATTATTCACTCATGCTTTCTTTTGGACAAAAAGTATTTGTTTCCATACCTACATGTTTTATACTTTGCATCTCCCAACATGTGGTTTTTTTGCAAAGATAGAAAAATTAAACTCCATTCTATACTTTTACTAAATGCTTATTATGTATCATATTATAAATGATTTTGCAAGTTATTTTGTAGATTTCTATTTTATTTTATCATAATTTGTCAGTTGATGAAAAATTTATAAATAATGTGTTCAGTTATTTAATGTTCTTGCTAAGGCTTTATGAGAAAGCTGTGTGAAATGGATTAACTGTTCACTGTGAAAGCAAGATTTCCAAATACTAATGAGTTAACAGTGATATTATTAAAAAACATAAAATAAAAGTATTTAAATTTTATTTATATATTTAATATTTTCCTTATCAACCACAAAATAACAAATGATAATTATAAAATATTAAAAACCAATTGAATTTTATCACATAATCATCTGTACCATGAATTATTCTAAAATTGTGGATTTTGTGATATTTATTGAATGTTGAAGGCTTTCAGTGAAAACATACAGTGCATTATAAAGAATGAAAGTTTTGTATATACATTTTATATTTGCAGTTGATGTATTTTACGTACATGTATCATTTTGAAACATTGTTAACTTTATGAAAAAATATGCAAGGTAGAGCTTAAATTTTTAATTTTCATTGATCTTTATTTAGGTGATGAAAAGAAATGATTATGATACTCTGCAAAATGCTGCTAGGAAAATTCAGTCATTTTACCGTCAAAATCATTTTAAAAAAATCACGAAGAAAACCAAGATGAATACAATTGTATGTGCACATTTCATAATATAACTTACTTTAAGGTGTAAGAACGCTGATAATCATTCTATCTTTGGTTTGACTTTGGCATCTCTTAAACTTAGTTTTAATTTTACTTTCCTGGAAAACCATAAGTGTATTTCTGATTATCTTACAGGTTAAAATAAAAGCTCTTTAAGAAAAAACCTTTGGAGTTATAATTTTGTGTAAACATTTGCCAGTTGGGTAGTATATTTTACTATCTTCCTAGCTGAGCTAATGACAACTGACATTGAAGCTGTATAGTCTTTAACTGACCATGTAAATTTATGTTTTATATAAAACATTTTTTTTTAAGAGATATTTTTTGTGGTGAATAATGTCTAATATTTAAAAGTTCTTTAAACAATCTGCTTCTGAAAATTCATAAAGACTAAAAATTATAATTGCCCAAAAATTCCTAGAGATAAAGATTTGCATCCACTCTTAATTAAACAGTAAATTTACTTCATATAGTTAATATCTTCATAATGATTAAAATCAAGTTAATAATTTTCTATGGAATTAATATTGGTTTTTAAATATATATTAATATCAGTGTCCCTAGGGGACAGTGGCAAGTTTACTGATTTACAGTGCTAAAATCTGAGGTTTTGATTCCTCATGGTAAACAGTGTAGACAGCCCATCATGTAGCTTTGCACAAAGAAAAAAAGTATTAGTATCAGTTGAAAGTATTTGTAACTTTTGTGCATAGGAGAAACAAATATTATTTTTTTCATATCTCAGGTTGCTTTACAAAAAATGGATAGAATTGACAATAGAATCAATAAATACCTTACTGAATACAGACTGTGCAGCCCTCAAAAAGAAGAAAAAGAAGAGTTGAAAGAATTTTCTGCTCTAAATATTAAGGTAGTATTTAATAGAAGCTTCTAAATGTCATTGTTTTTATATATAGGCACCATCCAGATAGTTTTATTTACACATGACATTCTCTAATTGTCATTATTTTCAATGGGATAACTGTATACAAATATTTTGATATTTGAACATGACTATCCCATTTCTTTAAATTTTACTTGAAAAAGCATTAGTTACCATTATTTATTTGTGCTTTAATTTTTATATATTTTGACTTTTTATGCTATGTATTATTGATGTTATTTATCAAGTTTTAATTAATGTTATTATTTACTTATTATTATTATTTATTACAATACAATTACAATCTGTGAATTCACTATAGTCCAGTGTATAGCACATAAATTCCTAACGTTTAATATTACACTCTTTTTTTTTCACAAACAATATTTCTTGTGAAATGTACCTTGTGGAAATGAACAATGTGTCATAAAATATTAGTGTTATAAAAATAAACAGGTAAGGTGACTGTAGGACACTATTCATAATACTTTTAAGGTGTTGCATAGGAAAAGCAAACCACAATTAAAGTGTTTTTTTTTTTTCAAAATTACAAACACTGAACAGTTCTGTCTGTAGTTAAAAGTTAGTCAGTACCAAAAAGGTACTAAATGTCATGATAATAATTGAAGCTTTTTACTTTGCTTTTTACTCAGAATTATGTACAACACATACACATGGAGTCAGTTTAAACTTCATACTAATATGCGTAATATATCACAGGTTTTTACTGTCACTATCCCTGTTAATGTCTCATAGTACTACTTTAAAGAATATATAATTTAGGATAAACCACAAAAGAAAATATCTAACAGTACATGGATTGACACAATAAAATTTTAAAAACAAATACATATGTTAGGTTTCTATTTGAAAACATATTTAAGATAAATTGAATGTCAATTACAAAGTAAATGTTTATCTTTAGCTTCATTAATCCTGTAAAATATAGCAAAATTCAAGTTGTTCAATGTCACTTTCCTCATCCATCAGCTTTTGTTCATCGTCTTCACCATCTTTTTCAGGCTGGTTGTCACAATTCTTCAGTTTACAAAGTTCTGAGCATTTCATGTTATTGCTTATACATGCACATTTTAGAATCTTGCAAGATCTTGAGTAGTCACGTGCTAAGAGTTCAAGTTCTGTTTTGGGTGCAGGAGCTTCATCTAGTCAGTCAATAACTAACTCCTCTCTGTCATTGTGTATTTGAACCTTCCATCCATGACTTTTTGGTGAAGGTATGCTTGGTAGTGTTTCAAGACCACATTTCCAAATACATAGGTGATAATTGGTACATGCTTGCGAAGGACATCAGCACACAGAAGAAGCTGATGTGGCTCAATATGACCCTTGCTTGTGCCGAATATATGATACCTGAGTTCATTCACTTTTTTTGAAGTGGCCTTAGAAGCATATAGTTGGCAGATAAATGCCTCAAGTCCAACCATTAGTGATGTAGAAACTTCCCATTCTTTTCCTAGCTCAGAAAAAATGGCATGAAATTCATCATATTTCTTTAGCATCTTCAATGTTGTAAGCTTTCCTCATCCAGCAAAAGTGCTAACATTATTACAGCCAGTGAATACATGCATACCTCTCAACCCTTTGCATACAGAATTGCCTAGAGCAGAAGCAATTTTATCTATGTCTACATAATTGATAAGAGATGGATGGAAACTTCAATACTAGCACTAAATGCTAGGGCTAAAAGAAATATGTCAGTATCAACAACTGGTATGATTGATTTATGTCTAGCTTCAGCTGCATGTGCAGAATGTAAGATCAGTCAAGTGTCTGTCTGCTCTTGCAAAGAACAGAGATCAGGAACAATTACACTACCCTCACCATGAGATATCTTGATGCAGTTCTCATCAGAAGTCACATACAGAATCATTTCTCCAAGTCTTTCGGTGTACTTTGGCTTCTTCCATTCACTGACGAGAAATTGAAAAAAGTTGGACTTATTATATGATTCAGAAAGGAAATTTCCCCATTGCAGTACTGTTTATTTACTCGTAATGTTCTTTAGCTGAATGATGCTTGTGGATGATTTTCTGATCTCTCTACATATTTTATTGATAAGGTCTTGTATGTGTCAAAAATGATGTCCAATCAGTAAGAATTAGATGCTTCATGAAGAACTTTTGAAAGAATAAAAGAAGTGATGTTTCCAAATGTTTTTTATTCTCCTTTTATTTTGTGTATTAATGTCATTACATCTAGGAGACATGCTGAGTGAGTAGGAATGTCATTTGAAGATGTACAAGGTTCTTGAAGTTCCTTTGCAAAGTTTGCTTTGCTGATTTTTCTTGGAAGACCATCAGCAGTGGCCAGTGGTATAATATGTACTAAGGTATTGAGCTTAGTTCATTTGTCATAAGCAAAACACCATGCAATGCACTCACAAATACACGCTGTGTGTAATTACCTTCTCTGGAACTTTGAATCATTTCTAGAAGGATGCTCACCATATCAGTATAGCTCATCTAGGAATTCCATTAACTTTGTGGGATGTACCTTGTCCAGTAAGTGTCTCCTCCAGCATGTCGATGTTATCCAGTGCCAAAGTAGTAAAGACATGGGGTTGAATATTTTCTGGTAGAACAGCATCATTACCTGTTGTAGACAGTTGCTGAAGACAGAGTGCCATTTCATTTCCTTCAATAACAGTATATGAAACTCTATACCCAAGGTGATTTAACATCTTAATTATATTTGTATATCTAGTTAAAGCTTTTATTACACAAGGTAATAAAATGTGCTTTGGTGGGATCTGTGAGCCATTGCTCACAGCATAAACAATGTCTTGAGAAAAAGAATTAATCAGGGTTATTACCCATTGTGATGGGTTGCTTAGTTACAGTTACATCTATTGGTACTTTTACACTGTCCTGAGTAAACAGTGAAGGGATGAATGGCCAAGTTTTTGTGTTTACTTCTGCTTTGATTATGCATCACTGCTTTCTTTAATATTTCGACATTTTTGGGTGACCTACTTTGGAGTAATTTCAGTTCTTTTTTTCATTTTTTGGTTCTCTTTCACAAGATCAATTATGTTAAGATTATCTGGAAATACCAATAGTTTTCCTTTGTCAGCAGGAGTGATATGCAGTGATTTTCCAAATTTGACCTCCAGGAACTTCTGTATCTGTTTCTTTGTTGATTCTTTTATCACTGATACACCTTGTGGTACACCTTATAAGTTGTAAGCAGGTGACTGAGATCAGTAAGTTTGACAATTATTGGTGACTAGAACTCCTCCTGTGATATGTACTTAAAAAAGTTGGCTGAAGGAGGCAATTTCTGATTGCTTATATTCATTGTGCCCTACTTCAACATCATTTTTATGCTGGGCAGTATTGTTGATAGTTTCTTTCATATTTGTGTAATGCCTATAAACATGACTTATGGTACCAAGCCTCTGCCAATAGCAGTTCTCTTGTTACAACTGCAAGAATATGGCCATCTTGTTTCTTTGTTGCAATGTACCTGATTGTGGCATCGGCCTGAAGTCCAACACATTTAATCAATAACTCTCTAGGTATTGGTTCATTTTATATACTTTGAGGACTTTTCTGTTGGACAAAAAATACAGACTTTCTCCATAACTGTAGAACTAAATGACAGAGTTTGTGTTCAGAGAGATATACTCTTGACTATTTTTTCTTCATTGGTTTCCACTTTCTCCAATTTCTTTAAATCTCTTTTCATTGTGAAAAGTTTATGGCATGTAAGATGATAATGTACATTTGGAACTTCTCCCTCCTCTAAACCTTCAGCAATTTTTGAAATAGGTTGATGTTGTCTCAGCCTAGCTGCCCTCAACAAAATGCTCCATGAGTCAAAGTCCCTGGGAGTTGTAAGGTTGGTGTGAGGATCTTCATTGCCGATGTGAACAATACACTTTGTTGTTGTTGAAGCCATTTTCAATTAAATTCTTATCACTTGATAAGTATACCTGAAAAAGAAAAAAAACAATAATGAAGACTTTAAAACACTTGTTGTTTATCATAGAAAAAGAAAAGTTTAGGAATAAAACTTTTAGTTTTCTTCTGCAGTGAATTCTGTAAGTATAATATTTATTAGACTTAGTAATTCTAATGTTAGTAATAAAATGTAAATAATGATAGTAATTATTGGTATACTTAATGTAAAGGTAAAACATACCTTAACTAACTTTTTGTTACCAAACTGGATAATTTTGCCATGTGATGTAAAAGTATTTGTGCATATTTGTTTGAAAGATGATAGATGTAAAAGATCATTAATATGATAACAAACATTATACAGCTTGGAGAATGATGACATCATGAATATGTCTACGAAATTCATGTTATTTAGAAAAATGTTCTGTTGATACCATAAAGCATTGTTTCATATAATTTGAGTGTAATGCAACTATTTTTAGTGTTATGCCACAAACTTTTGACATATTATAAAGGGTATGAGAATTTTACACAAATATTTTCTTGCTAAAATTTGTTCCAACTTTTAAACATACCACCTCACTTCATCCATGTTTAAATTAGAGAAAGATGATGATTTGACACTGCTACCAGGGAAAAATTTATTCTATACATTTTGACCTTCCAAATGATACCATTGAAACCTGGTCACCTTTTTGGTACCAATAATACAAGTTTTGGCCTCTACCTGATGGACTATAACAAACAAAGTTTCATAATGATTGTCTTTGTCTTTAGGCATGAATGATTTTTAACACCATGATTTGTAGTAAATCAGAGATAAAATTAGTGCACAGTTATCTCATTTTAACAATAACTAGAGATTTATGGATCTAGTATGTGGAAGGATAGTGTAGTTATTGTTTTCAAGTGGAATTAAAGAGAAATCTCAGCCCTAAAGTTTATGTAAGAATCAACACTATTGATAAATAAACAAAAGAATGGCTGACTCTATTAGTGTGGTTACAAAGTTGAGGTATAATGTAAAAATACTATATTTAAATATAATGAATAAAAGATATCTGTATTTACTAAAAAAAACAGGTAAAAATAAGTTTTGTAGAAGAGTTAGTTAAATCACACATGATCAGCAGGCCCCACGAGAAACAATGATAAACAAAGACAAGTAATATAATTATAGAATGTTGTGTGAGAATAGTAGTAATAGATCTTGGCTCAAGTATTGGTATTTTAAGTTTATATCTCTTAATACATTATCTATGTATGCATCACAAGAGCTACAGCTGTGTAGTGAAACTATAAAATGTTGACCAAAACATGCAGAACAGCAGTGAACTGCATGAGAGAACATAGGTGATATCTGTATGTACAAGTAGTGTTTCAGTTCATGATGGATCTTGAACACAATCTCAGTTTGCACCACCATAGCTGAAACACACACTGCTTCCTTGTTCAAAACAAGCTCTACTTGTTCAAACAAGTGTATATCTTAGAGCAAAATAAATTCTTATAGTGGTTTGTAACTGTATCAGACAGGCTTTAGAGATGGCTGGAACAATAATTGGTAACAGTGCATGAGGAAGAAGTGACTGAAACTAGTAGTGTACCTAGTGTCATTATGACTGCATTCTATCATCAAACAAATTTACTGTTGTCAGTATACCTGAGACCACTGATAAAAGATTGTGCAGATAATATAACTTAAATCACCAGAGAAAGCTTGCAACATTACTTTTGAATTCTGCAGAAACAGCAGAATTGAAAGAGTGCTTCCAAAAGTACAGGATGGTGTGGAGCATGTAATAGTGTATGTGAACCACACTTTAATGTCTGCTGAATGGCTTTATTATACATTGAAAAAATAAATGCTTGTAGTTGTAGCATTCATTTAGTATTTTTGCTCCCATTTTTAGAGCCAAGAGTTTTTTGCTGAAGTAGATCACACATCATTGAAGCAGTTGATGAACTTCAGAGAACTAGAAAATACTGGGAATACCAGGAAGTTTCCTGTACTACAGGCAGCTTGCAGAGGCTATTTTACTGGCCACATTTCAAAAGAAATGTAGAGTAACAATGTATGCACTTCATTATCTGTGTGGCTCAGCTAATCAATCATCAGCATACAAATAAGTTCATTCTGTGAGTTGTAGTTCTTCTGTTTCAAAGAATAGCCCTTAATAGTACCAGATCTCTCCCTAAAATTGTAAGTGTATCCTATTAATAATTTCTTACTTTATTAAGTGGGCTAAAACATACTCACTGGTATATTGGCTTAGACAGTCGGTAATACAATGGTTGAATAGTGGATAGCTCACTTTGAAGCATCAGTAGATACATACCAATCAAGGAGCAAAATTAAACACTCAACTATTTGCCAGTTGTGTAAGGTACATGAGTGTCATGAAAACTATGACTTCATCATATCATCCTCAGTCTGCTAGTTTGGCTGAGTTGCTTGTCTATAATTTAAAGTGTGTGCTATGTAAGCTGTGATCAAACCAAGTAGAATGACCATCTGCCATATGTAATGATAGCATACAGCACAGTGGAGCAGCAGTCCACCAGCTGCTTGTCAAACATGTTAATGTGTAGATGTGAAGTTACACTCCCTATAGACCTAACGCATGGCTGCCACCAGTTGCAAAATTGCCAGATTGTCTGCAAGAGTACATAGAAAGGTTGAGATCCACATTAGTGGATACTCACAAGTTAGCACATCAACAGTTTTGAAAAGCAGCCAAGTGACAGATGAGAATGTATGACAAGATAATGAAATAACATCAGTTGAATGAGGAGACTGGATGTAGCTCTGGTGTACTTCAATGGCACGTAAACCACTCAAATCCAACTGAACTTGACCTTATCTCATTCTATGGTGACTTAATCCAATAACGTTATGAGATTCAGCTTTTATATAGCATGCAAAAAACACATCCAACATGAATCCAAGTGTTACTAATATGCTTCTGCATCACCTTGGTTGATCAGGAAGTGGAGAGTGATAAGTTGAAGCCATAAATGATCGTGAGAACACTATCTAGTACTTTTATCCAGCAGAAGAGGAAGACAACATACTGAATATTCCCTGGATCTTCAAAAAATGTGAGAGGAGGAAATGTCACCTAAGTAGTAATGTGCATAAGTGGATGCACACTTGCAGTAGCAGTTAACATAGGACCCCCAGTTACTACATCTGGGAACTAGTGACAACTCAACAATAAGAGTGATTGGTTGATTAAGAAATAAATCGTTGGAAGTGAACTGCAGCTTTAATTTCTACACTACTAGTGTTGTATATATATGTGTAAGCATATGTTATTGTTGTTGTTTTTTTGTTTTTTTAATTCCACTGGGTCTCAACAATTAGGACAGCTGATGTTAATAAGTATAATGCCTAGAACGTATGACTGGAGATGATCACTAGGAATTTTAAAACATCTCTAGCTAAGCTCAAAAAAAGATTTATGATCTTTATTTTCCAATCTATTATGTAGATAGTTGGATTAGAAAATATATTTTAAATATTTTTGTGTTATCCACTGGAATTTAGATTACAAAATCAGTGCATGGTGCTAGCTAGCAAGTCCATTATAAACATTGTCATAAGTTTTGATGTACTCACCTTCAATACAAAAATATTTTATTACCATCAGTATGCAGTGAAGATAAAAAGAATGTAAAAAAGAGCACTTCAACTAGTACTCCTTAATTACAGTCTGTACTAACTGTGATTTCTACTAGGAAGAAGTAAAGAATAACAGTATTTATTTGCTGTTTTAGCCTCTCAAAAATTTCTAGTGTGTTGAAACCTTCAGTTTGTGTTAGAATCTAGCAGTGAAAATGCACATTATTGTGAGTACTCTACTAACCAAACTTTGTGCATGTGTAAGCATGCATATATACACTCACATACTTAAATATGGCAAGATATTCATAGAATACCACATTAGTTGAAATAGACAAGCCACTTAAAGTGCTTATTTACAAGAAAATGTAACTGTAAAATTTCACTAAAGTGAGTTCTACTGTAAAGTAGCTACAGTTCTAAAGTATGAAGATAGAACTTTTATTTGTTTAGCTGTGTTGTCTGTATGGTATGAAGTTTGCTCAGGAAAGTCAACTTCAACAGTTGCAGTGTACATTAGAGTCAGTTTATAGTATTTTTGGTTTCATAAAAGCTATAAAATTTATAAATTTTTACAACAGGGAAATAGATATTAACTCTTACTTGTTTTTAAATGTTATAATATTTTTTAAATAAAATAAAAATGCACAAACAAATTAATTACACATTAATGATTTATATGTTTTAAGTAGTTAGGTTGCTTTTGTGATCTTGTTGTTTTTTTAAACACACGCATTAAAACTATTCCCAATATTCTTATTTGCCTTCCTGGTAGGAACACTGGAATTAGTTTAATGTGTATATTTGTTTTGAAGCTTTATTTAATCCCACTTGCAGCAAATTTGGATTCTGGTAACAAAGAATTTGATTGATTTTTAAAGATTATTTGGCAGGATTTTTAGTTCTGTGTTAATTAACAACATTATTCTAGACAAACAAAAAAAAAACTTTATTAATCAAATGAGACATTAGATTTAAGCTGATATGCTTTGATGCAAATTCTTCCATAATCTTTAAAGGAAACGTATTCTGTTACAAGCATGGTAATATTTTTGTTCAATATTCCTATAAATTTAGTTTTGTGATTAGTAATATCAATTATTTAAAGTTTTATGTTGTACATTCTCTATATTTGTTGTTTTAAGTTTTCCACTTATCACCAAATTTCATTTCTGGAAAAAATTGTATGTGACAACACTTCCTTAGACAACCCTAAAACACTTACACAAACAATATAATATAGAGAGTAAGAAATCCAATACTGTCCTTTATTTTCCACTACTGTTAATTTGCCAAATCTGATGAAAAGTGGTAATAGGTTTTTATCTTTATTGAAAAATAATCTATTCATGCAAATGAAATTGTTTTTTAAATTATTTCTTCCATAATCAGTATAATTACCATACATATAGCACATAATTCACAGAACTATAATGGCCAATATGAGCAAATAGATTATTGATTTTTATTCTACATAAATTACCAAATTACAGGTCAACTTGCTGTAATACTTTTACAGTCCTATTGATTCTACAGCATCCAAGACAAAAATATACTTTTGTTTCTAGGGTTGGCCACCAGATCCAGACACAACAAAATCTGTATTCAAAACTGTTATTGATCAAATATATGAACCTTCAGAAGAGATTGGTTTTCGACATTACGTCACTTTACCTCTCCAGATGGATCCTAACCTTGGAATAGTTGTAGAATTGAAAGAAGATTTCCAACATGCAAAGTAAGGATAATTTATTTTTAAATATTAGAACAATATTTTAGAATGATGAAGAAGTAATTAAAATTATCAACTATTTTTTTGTAAAAACTTGGTATAAAACATATTTTAAACTTGAATTTGGTAGTTGATAGAATGATATTAGTCCATTGAAACAAAACTATGTAAAAGAGGCTTTAGAGAGTAAAGGATAGATGATTTGAACTTTGAGAGAAAGAAATATTTGAAGTTTTGGATTGTAGCATTCTTCTTGAGAAAATATGTATTATTTCAATATCTTAAAACTTTATAATTGTTATTTTGATACATTTTTCTTAGTTTATTTCGGATTGGACACTTAGATAAGCATAAAGTTAAGTTACAATGTAAGGCTTAATACTAGAATATAACTAGATCTTTAGGCTTTTTTTAAAAGTTTTGATTAACTAATTAACTACTAATACTGGATTATAAGATAATGAAGCTGTTAAATATTAGATTGAAATAGAGTTTTCACTAGTATTATTTAAGTAAGATGAAGAACTTGGTGATACATTTATCTACAGTTTATTACTGTTTAGTCTACAGTTTGGCTTGGCAAGTGTAATGCTATAATTTAAGTTTATTGGTAAGGTATAAAACAGAATAAATATATTATTACAGAAATATAATTGGAAGACTAGTTATTTGTCACTTCTTATTTTAAAGATCAACTTGATTGCTTAGGTGAAAAGATAAGGTAGTGATAAAATTATGTAATGTATTTAAATCTGATGTTAGGCTAAACAGTATTGTCAGTGGGCTATTTCAAGTACGTTTATTTATCATTGGTTATTTATTCCAAGGCTTTAATGATTAAGAGTAGTATAGGTATTAAGCAAAGAGAATTTTTTAGGTGCAACAGGTGCAAGTAATGGGTTTTAATTGGGAACTCAGGATTGGCATGCAAATTTAAGAAAGCTTGTAGTGAAGTTTCCAGTTTGTTTATAGAGATTATAAGTTGGAGGAGAAATTGGAAGCCATTCTAAGTCAGGTAGAAGCAATGAACAAGGAAAAGGCTATACTGTGGGAAGTAGCAGCAGGATTTAAAGGAGAACTTGAGCTTTTGCCTGTGAAGAATACAGCATACATGGCTAATAATAACTTTCAGGGAATTAGAAACAGTACATATAGGACTAGTAGTAGTAGATTTAATTATAATATGCAGGTTCTAATAAGTAACAGATTTCAGCCTTTAGCTTGTGCAGGTGAGGAACTCGGGGAGGGAAGAATAACAAAATGGGACTGATAGGGATGGGAATGAAAAACATAAGAGGTTATTGTTATAGGTGATTCATTAGTATGACATGTGGGTAGAATGGTCTGTGGGATAGATAGGGAGAAAAGGATTAGATTGGACTATCTAGGGGCAGCAATGGAAGATATAACTGACAGAGCAAGTGATATAGTAAAGGACACTTGCAGTGTAGTGCACATAGGGTATAATGATAGAGGGAAGGGCAGGTCAGAGAAGATAATTGTTAAATACAAGGCATTCAAAGAAAAGGGCCATAATAACTTAATTCTGTTAGGAATACTGCCAAGACTTAAGTGTGGGGATAAAATTATAAATAAGTCACTAAGGCTGATTGCTAGGCTTACGTTAATAATTAAGGACCTGCAGGTTGATTAGTTGGATCTGTGGAATCAGTTTAATAGAAAAAAGGAGCTTTTGGGAATAGATGGTTTACATTTAAATAGAGTAAGTACTGGCTTGTTTGCAAGGGTTATTAACTCAACTGTAAAGGTAACTTTAAACTAGAGCTAGGCGGTGGTGAGACCAGAATAATAATGAAAAAATGAAATCTAGTGAAAAGTATAGTGTAGGAACAAAGTACAAAAGTAGTTTTAATGATAGGCTAAACTTTTATTATTGTAATACTAGAAATATAAGAAACAAAAGATGACTTTAGAGCACTGATTGGAACAGAGGATTTTGATTTAATAGGAGTAACTGAAACCTGGTTAAATGTAGACAATTTTGTTGACAGGAATTTCTTTCAAATACAGGGTTATTGGTTGTTTAATAGGGATAAAGTACTGTGTAAAATGTGAATTACATTTTGTTCAAAGCTAAAAGCATTTAGGTTGAATACGCTTGAGTTTCTATTAGTGATTATAAGGGGAGAAAACTTTTAGTTGGAATTTATTACAGACCAAAAGATGAAACTTATAGAATTAATGAGAAGCTCTACAGTGAGATAAATAATATAGCTGTTAATAAGGTTATAATTATGGAAGATTTTAGTTTTAGGCACAAAGGTTGCAAATGCAGGTTTTTAGAAACTCTTCAGGATGGTTTTCTTCACCAATTGGTTAGAGAACCTACTAGGAACAATGCTATTCTAGATTTGTTGTTAACTTCTAATATATAAATGGAGATTAGGTAACAATTGGGTGCAAGTGATCATTGTTCAATAAAGTTTGATGTTTTGCTGCATATTAATATAAGAAATAGTGAGATTTGTTTCCAAATTTTAAAAAGGCAAATTTTGAAGGGAAGAGATAAGAATACTCTGTTGTGAATTGGGCAACTGAATTAATTGGAGTTATTAATCAAATATGGAATTTTTTTTTAAAAACCATTAAATATTCAAGACAGGTTTATTCCTTATAGAAAAAAAAGGGTGGATTCAAGTAAAAACTAGGTTGTTTCACAAGGATATAAGGAAAACAGGAAGTTGCTTAATGTTACTCCTTAATCTTAGCCAATTAGTGTTTTTTCAGTGATGAGAAAAGTTTCGAAATTCTGATAAAAGATGCTTTGAAAATCATTTACAGAGTTTAAAATTTTGTTGGATAGTCACATCATTTCTCTTGAAAGAAATCTTGCCTTACTAATCCTTTGACATTCTTTGCAGAGGTTACAGTTCATGTAGATGAGGGTACAGATATGGATTTGGTGTATATGGATTTTTAGAAAGCATTTGGCAAGGTGCCACGATAAAAGGCTTGTTAAAAACTTTTTCTCTGTAGGTGTGGAGGACAGATTGACTCATTGGGTATAAAACTGGCTGGATGAAAGAAAACAGAGGTTGTTTTAAATAGATTAATGTCACAAGTGGGGTACCTCAGGGCTCTGCATTGGGACCTTTGCTCTTTTTGAATTACATCAGTGACACAGGTGAAGGAATGCTCAATAAATTATTTAAGTTTATTAAAATTTTGGGTGTTCCTGCTGTGAGGATATAGCTGCTGCTGTACAAAAGGATTCAGATTATTTGGTGAGTTGCGTGAAGAAATGGCAGGTAGCTTTTCATTATAATAACTGCAGTGTGATGCATGTTGGATATCACAGTTTGAATTATAAGTTTGATTTTGATGGGAATAAGCTTAACAGTATTATGGAAGAAAAGTATCTGTGTAATGGGTAATCAGTTTCTTAAGCCATCCAAGCAATGTATTGTTGCTATTGGTATGGCAAATAGGATTTTAGGCTATATCTACAGAAGTAAAATACTGAATACAAATCTGAAAAGGATATATTTTCATTGTTTCAGTCATTGGTCAGACTGCACTTGGAGTACTGTTTTCAGTTTTGGGCTTCTTATTTTAGAAGAGACATTGGATGTTGGAAAGGGCTTAGAGGATGGTACTAAGATGATATCTGGGATGGAAAGGTTGTCATACTATGATAGGTTAACATCTCTGAAATTGTTTTATCTTGAAAAAAGAATTAGAAGGGATCTGATTGAGGTGTTTAAGCTTGTTAAGAGAATTGTTTGTGTTAATGTATCACTTTTTTCTTACTTAATGGGGAAAATGGTAAAACTAGGGGACATGTCTATAAATTTTAGTTGTGAATCATCTTCAGCTAAGAGAGCTTTATTTTTCTAACAGTATGGTTGGCCTTTGTAATAGGTTGCCTTCAGATGTGGTAGATGCAGTTAATTTAAGGGAAGGCTTGATAAATACTTAAATGATATGGGCTAGCTGGCTTTGAGTATTTTATTTTTATTAGAGTTTAGTATCATGGATATAACAGCTAGATGGATCAAAAAGTCCCTTGTTCTTAAATTATATGTATTTATGCATATGTGTGTATATGGTTCTCTTCACAATTGGTTAGAGAACCTACTAGGAACAATTTGTTTGGTTAAGTGAGACAATCATAATTTGACTAAATGTTTTGTTAATAGTTTTGTTTTGAGTTTATTTACTGATTATAAGTATTATTTTATTACAAGTTACAGCTTTTACAATAATATTTTTAAAATGGGTACAATGTTTTGATTATTGGTGTAATCATTCTCAAGGACACAACTTTTAACAATAAAAAAGGTTTTAACATTTAAATCAACATTCAACAATATAACAATGTATTTAAGTTTCAGAATTGATGGTTATTTATGAATGTGCATATCAATCAGCATAAGTTGACAGATTATTTATTTATGGCTGTACAGAAAAAAACAAACAAAAAAAGTGAATAAATATGTAAATGTGGAAATGCTGTGCAAAATATTTGCATAAACACCTGGGGAAATAACAATCAAAGACATATGGAAATTTGCATGGGTATTTGTTAATTGTGGGATTGTTTGAAATTATTAATAAGGCTTCTCTGATTTTTCTTCTTTTAACATCAGGATCATGTTTTAGTATGTTGACATTCTGTTCAGAAAAATTGTGGTTGTTGTTTTCATATGATCATGGACTTGGAAAGGGGGTTTTTGGTGTTCTTTTAACCTGATGTGAAAGTTACATCCTGTTTCATTTATATAAAAGGCTGGGCAATGTTACACTTTATTTTGTAAAAGTTTCTTGGTGGAGTGGGTTTGTTATGCAATTTTCTTAACATATGTTTAATTTTCATTCCAGAGGTGAAAATGAATCTAGTCATTTTGTGCTTGTCTTTTCCAAATTTGTGATGTAGGTATGCTAATTAATATTTCCTATATATGGGACAGTGCAAATGATTAAGTTTCCTTTGTTTTGTGGAGTGTTTTTTGAGCTTGCTTGTTTATTAAATGTATCTTGTCTGTGTTTTTTACATTCATTAATAGTTTGTATAAACTACTGTAGTAGGGAATTGGTTTATGTTAGTAAAGCATTGAGTTAAGTATGTTACTTCTTCTTTGATGGTTTCTATGGTGCATATAAAAGCCTCCTAAGTTAGGAGGCTTTTTAGAGTGCCTAGCTTCTGGGGAATATGTGATTAAAAAACCAGTTTATGTAGTTTCCACCTTATTTATTTTTTATGAATTTTAGTGGTGAAGCATTGGGGGTTTGTGTCATGTTAATGTTTAAAAAAATTTTTAATGTAGTTATTTTCATTTTCAACTGTGAATTGTATGTCTTTGTGTAGGTTGTTTTTGTGTTCAAAGAATTATATTTATTCATCTTGAGGAGGAAAGCCAAAAAAAAACGTCATCTAAATATATGAGCCAGAATGTAGGTTTATATAAGGAAATGACTATAGTATGTTGTTCTATGCAGTGTAAGAAAAAGAGTAGCCAAAGTACATAAAAATAGACTTCTCATGGTAAGTCCATGTTACTAAAGGAAGTAAGAATCTCTGTTTTGAAAGTAAGTAAATGTGGCTATTTGTGACAGATTGGTTTGATTTTCCTGTTTTATGTTGATTTTTTTCTTGAAGTCTTGTGAAATAATTACTGAAGTAAGTTGTATTGCCTTATGACAAGGGGGTTGAGGGAATAGGCTTACAACATCAAAGCTAAACATAATTACATTACTGTTTAAGCTATGTAAGCAATGTAGGAAGTGTGAAGTGTTTCCTAATTGGGTGTTCAGTTGTGTCTCAGCAGTAAGCCTGAAGGTTTATAATGTTAGATACCAGATTTCAATACCTGTGGTGGGTACAGAACAGATAGCCTATTGTGCAGCTTTGTGCTTCACTACAAAAAACAAATAATTAACATTCTGGAGTCATTTTTATAACTGGTCAGCTACTTAGAGATGTTATATTGTGAATGCTGCAATTTTATCAATTTCAAAAGTTCATTCTGGCTTCTGGAGAGGGCTGACCTTTTTTCTGTCCTAAGAAGTCAAGGCTTGATGTAGAAGTCTCCCTTTTTTTTCTTGTTTTACAATGCTCTTCAAACTACTCATCATGTCTATTATGTTTCACTTTGTTTTCAACACATTCTTTAGTTGTTTATCTAAATACAATTTATTTTATTCTATTCAAATTAAACATCCACCATACAATGTAATACTCCTTCGATTAAAAAATCAGTTTTCTGTTCTTGGGAACCCTATAATGAAATAAGAATGTTTTATTTTTGAATTTATAACAACACCAGGTTTTGTCTCTTTGATTGCACCTGAAACAGCTATCCTTCTGCATATTAGATCCATGAATTTTTATTCCTTTCAGAGATCAAGTGACCATGAGCTAGGTTTATTCTTGAGTTACAATAAATGCTTCCATGATTTTCCTGCTTTAGAATGTAAAACCTAAAGCTAAATTAGCATATAAGTTTGACTAGATTTAGTTTGTTCAAAATTAGAACTTTTTGAAAAACTATATAAATTTTTTTCTAAATATGAGATATACACCAGCAATGGATTCATGAAGGGGAAACTGTTTAATAATGAAGATGGGGGGCAGTTGATAAAACATAAAACATTTTATTAACAAGGTTCAAATGTTTTGGAATAGCTTATTCAATCTTCAGCGAAATCTGAAAATTGTGTTACAAAGATGATTATTACTAAAATTATAATAAAGTTATCATTAGTTTACTTAGTTATTAAGAAAAGCAGTAAATGGATGGATGAAACAATGTTTATATATAATTACACAACAGCTGAGTTAAGTGTGAAATTTAGAACAATTCTAGATCTACAGAGCTTTGTGAGTCGTTAAGGGTCAGGCAGTCTTTTGTTATGAGTAGACTTTGTTTAATGTAGAGTTCAAGGTCTGAAGTTCCTGTGGTGATGATAAAGAAAACGTTAAATGAAATACTGTGACCTGTGGTTTTAGAATGAGAGTGAATGGGTGAATGGCTGGGTTTAATTAGTAGATGGTTGGTTTTGTTTGATACTCCTAAATGTTCACAGACTCTAGTTTTTAAGTGGCGTTTCGTTTTGCCAATCTATGTGACCTTACAGTCAATACATGCATATTTATACACGAGCCATGAATGTAGAAGTTTAGGTACTTGGTCTCTGTACTGAAATAAGTGTTAAATGCGGAGGCTAGGTCTGTATATTATTCTAAGCTGAATTTGAGAATAGAAGTTTTTTATTAGGGAAGAGAGTTGTTTTTTTAATTGGTAGTGGTTGCGAACCCATAAAAGGAATAGAGATAATGAGGGGAATTTGGGGATGGTTTGTACATTGGCTGCTGGTTGGATTTTGTTGTTTTTGAAATTGTGTGTAGTCTTCAATAGAAAATCAATCTGATAGCCATTATTTATCCTGTGTTTATGTAGAAGGGTAATTTCCTCTTGTAAAATAAAATAATTAGATCAAAGATCAAAATTCTGTTCAACAATGATATAACCAGATTACATTTGAAGAAGTTGGGGATAAAACCATTGAAATTGGTGTAGAGACCAGTAAAAATTCTTTTATGATAAATAGAGGTAGCAAAGTGTTTACCTTCTTTGGTAATCCTGAAGTCTAGGAAAGGTAAAGAATCGTTTTCCTCGAGTTCGGATGGGAACTTGATATTGGAATGTGGGAATTAAGGTAAGAAAGGAATTTGGAAACATGGCTTGATTGTTGAAACAGCAAGAAAGTGTCATCAATATAGTGTTTGTAAAGGACAGGTTTGAATTCATGTGGGCAGTTTTCTAGCCACTTGCATTCATGATAGCATAGAAAACTATTGGCTATCGCCAGACCCAGCAAAGATCCCTTGATGATTCCATCTATCTGGTCATAAATGATGTCATTAAAGAGAAATGGTTTAACTTTGTAGAGAGGACAAGAAGTTCAAAGAATTGTTTACAGGTGCAACCAAGATACTGTTCAGTGTCAGTGAGAAAGAGAAGGTCCATAATTAAATTTAGTTTTATCAAGGGGGATATAGGTATATAGAGATTAAATATCAAAACTGGCCATGACCTATTGATCAGCAGAGGGAATTTTAGATATATACACCATTTAAGAGCGAGATGCATGGTTTTATGGGTTTTTTTATATGACAAGTTCTTAATTTGCATTTTTTAAAAGAACTATCATAACTTATTATTCAAATAAAAGCTTAATTAGTTTTTTACCTCAAATTTTTATAGACAGAAAATAGTCAAAGAAAACATTATGTAATTAATTCTGATTGAAATGAAATTTGATAAAATTGTATATTTAAAGTATTTAAGAAGTCCTAAATTTAACAACAAATTATAAAAAATAGTGTCAAATGTAGTATAAAATTAATCTGGGTTAACTTATAAGGCTTTACGTTTTATTTAAGGTACATGAAAGCATTTTTAAGAAATTAATTATTCCTCTCTAAGTTATTTATGTATTCTTGGGTATGGGTTAACCAATGAATTATTATAGCACAAGATTATTTAATAAAACTCATGTCATTTTGGCTAATTAGAAGAGTACTTGGACTACGTGTAGTTGAGCAGGTTCCTCCATATGCTTACCGCTTCCAGCCAACAGGTGACATCCAGGATAACACCATTCCTGTTTTACTTGTGTTTGGTGGTATTAATCCTCGAGATCCAATGAATACTATTAATGGTATGCAAAGAAATATCTTTAAATTGATTCTTTTAAATTTGAACTTGTGTATCAGCTGTTTATTTCTACCTAGATTGTATTTGATAAAGCTTAATATTAATGTAGATGAGAATATAGAAAAGTTTTTGTTTGTGAGGTATATGAATCATGTTTGAGTAGGAATGTTTGTCATATTTCACTTAGTTTGTTATTGCTATGAAATGCATATATGCAAAAATAACATTCTACATTTCTGTTTGTCAAAGTTATTACCCAGTGGGATCTTTCATTCAGTACCAGAACTCAGCACCTTAAAACCAAACTTATTCTGCAACACTATTTCATATATGCTTTTGGCTATTGCAGATCCAGCCTAAATAAACTCTGGGGTTTAATGAAAGTGGTGACATGTAGCAGGCAAAAGATGGAGTTTAAAATATTAATTAAAGCTCAAACACTAGCTTCAGTGGAGTATTATTTATTAAAACCAACTCCAATGAAGTATTAAATTCCTTCACATGTACAAATGATTGCCAAACATAATATAACTAAGGTTTATGTCCCAAAGTTTTAAAATAAATACTTTTTATTTATAACATGGGTGGGAGCTGCGAGAGTTTAATGGTAGACACAATGTAAATATTTTGCTCATTATTGAAACCCATTTTGATACTGTTTTCACAACTTTTGAGTAACAAATCACAAGGATTTTGAGTCAGTAGAAATGCAGGAATCAGTTACAACAGAAGACCAGTGCTGACACCTCTCCATTTTGGTTGGTTTTGAAGTAGGGTGTGAAAAGGAGTCATGCAACCTAATCACTGTGCAATAAAGGAAGGAAGAGAGAGAGAGAAGTAGTATCTTGTTGAAACTAGGTTTATTTCACATATGATAAGGGGAAGAATCCATTTGAAACCTGTGGAAAAACCATGCGCTTCCTGTAAATGTAAAGGAAGAAGGATAATGAAGAAAACGAGCCTGAAGAGATGGAGGTGAAGGACCTGTTCAGAATTCTTGTGCAGGAAATTAAATTAGTAAATAAGAAGCTTGAGAAGATTCAAGAAGTATATGAAGAGTGGAAAGAACATCAGGAAAAGAAGATGACAGATTTAGAGGAAAAGTCATAAGTATGAACAAAGAAGTAATATGGCTAAAAAGTAAAGTTGAAGAACCTGAAAATTGTTGAAGGTGGAGTAATTTAGTGGCTAAGGGACTTAAAGAACCTGATCAACAATCTTGGGAGTAATGTGGACAATTAGTAAAGAAAGAATTGGAAGAGAAGATGAAGTTAAAATAAACAATTTGGAATGTGCACAGACAGGGAAGAAAATGCAAGGAAGAGACAGACCAATTGTTATTAAATTTAGGGAATGGAGAGACAAGGAAAAAGTATTGATATCAAAAGGAAAGCTGAAAGGGACAACCATATTTTTTGATGAAAATTATGCGCTAGAAACAAATAAGATCCAAGGAATGTTACATCAGATGGCCAAGGATGCAAGAGGAAAAGGAAGTAAAACAAAGTTGGGATTTCAGAAATTATGCATAGATAGCAAATGGTGGAAGTGGAGTAAAGGAGAAGGAAAACCTGTTGAAGAGGGAAAGGCGGAGAGCTTGCTGCGAGAAGACAAATAAAAAGATGTACGAAAAAGTATAGACCATGGAAGTGGAAGAGGTTTAGTCATTGACTATGTCATTGTGAAGAATGACACACATTATTATGTTATGGGAATGTATATTGCTGAAAGAATCTAATCTGACCTTCCACCATTGAAGTGAAGTTGAAAGATGAAATGGGACATAAGGTAAAAGAGATTCTTATGACTCAGTGGTACTATAAATAGAATCCAACTAAAAGATGGGATGGTATAATTATTTGGACTATTATTCTCATCTTTATTATGTGTATTATTATTTTCACAATGTTTCGAACAGTGAATTCTCTGGCCATTGCTAGGTGTTATATCAGACAATTTGTATTTGTCAGAACCATAAAGCTTTTTGTGGAATTAACAGGATTCTAACCCCCAAACCTGTGATCCCAAATATGGGCACTCTAACCGCTTGACTATCTGGAGGACACTTTTGAAATGCTTTGGAAGTACCTCTATTTTGTTTATCTCTAGTATTTTTGTTTCAATTTTTTCGTGATACTGGGAGCCATATCAGGCTTATGTCTACACTTGGCTTGCTGATGGGATTAGTAGTCAATGCTAGGTGTGCCATTTCCTTGATCTTCCTTATTTTCCAGTGTGGCTCCATGTCGATGATAGTGACTTCGTCCCATGCTAGTCTGTGTTCTCCTTCAGACAATGCATCTTCTGCTATGCCCAACCATTTCGATCTTGCCCCTGATGGTTGCCTTCCTATGCCCTTCTAATCTGAAAGACAGAGAACGACCTGTTTTTCCATTGTATGATCTACCACAACTGCATAGAATGTCATCTATGCAGTGTTTTGTTTGCTCCTTAGACATCAGTGGTCTGACTTTGGTGAACATTCTTCAGAGTATTGGATTACTTCTGAAGATGATCCTGATGTTATTTGTTGGGATGCATGTTTCTTCCAGTAGTGTGTCATCCATTTCCAGTCTATTCCTCACTATGGTTAAGGCCTCAATTGTTGGTACATCGGTGAACAGGCTCACAACGTCGAAGCTAACCATTTATATGCCAGATGTTTTCCTGATAGCCAAGTGGTTAAAGTGCCCATATTTGGATCACAGGTTTGAGGGTTAAAATCCTGGTAATTCTACAAAAGCTTTCTGGTTGTGATGCATACAAAATGTTTGATATAACACATGACAATGACTGGAGCTAACCATTTGTATGCCAGGTGTCCTCCTGATAGCCAAGTGGTTAGAGTGCCCGTATTTGGGAATGCAGGTTTAGGGATTTGAATCCTGGTAATTCTACAAAAAACTTTCTTGTTGTGATGCATACAAAATGTCTGATATAACACCTGATGACAGCTAGAGAATTCACTGGTCGAAACTTTGTGAAAATAATAATACACATAATAAAGATGAGAATAACTGTCCGAATAATTATACCATTAGTAGTACCAACACCTCGTCTCAATCATTCTGCTAAACTCTAAAAGACAAGAGTTCATAGCTAACCTGGAAAGTGACTGGTGGAAAATAAAAATTAGAGAGGTAAGGAAAGAAGAATACAAGTCCTCAATGACATTTTCAAGAAGAGTTCCTAGGAAATTAGGATCAAACAAATGACAGGAAGTAATACAAGGATAGTGAATACAAGCAGAAGAAGAGACTGATTGTAAAATTACTGAGACAATTTAAGATGAGAAGAAAAGAAGTTGACAGGACCCACTATATTTCAGAAAGTGATATTGGGAAAGGCAAAATTAGAAGAAAGAAAAGATTTGGAAGGAAATTAAGAAGAGTAAGGGCAGTAAAGTATTCTGATAGCACGATAATAAGTTCAGAAAGCAATTTAAGAAGCAAGAGGATAAAATAACTACACACCAATAGAGAGAACACTTTGTGCAGTTATTAGAAGGAGAAAGACGAGTAGCAACATCTGGTAATGAGAACTCCCAACACAAAGTGCTACCATTTGAAATTGCTGAACTGGATGCTGAATTCAAACAAGAAGAATTGACTAAGTCAGTTAAGAAACTGAAGAATGGAAAGTCACCTGGTGAAAACATGGAAGTCAACGAATTTTATAAGGCACTTATGCAGGAAATGAGAGATAATCTTTTACAACTACTCAATGAGATCTCTAAGAGTGGGGCCTGCCCTGACAGTTGGAGGGATGGACTAATTTGCCTGATCTACAAGACTAGGGAGAAATACAGTCCAAAAGTTATAGAGGAATCATGTTATTTAATACTATGTACAAGATATTGGCCAACATGATGATTACACAGCTCGTAGACTACCTTGAAAAGAAAGGCTAAATAAGGGAAACCTAGCAGGATTCAGGAAAAATTACGTAACACAAAATAAAATTTTTGTGTTGAGTACATTAATCAAAAATAAGCTAAGAAGAATGAGAGGAAGATTGTATGCATGGCTTATTTATTTAGAGCAGCTTTTGACAAGGTCAGTAGGAAGAAAATGCATGAAAAGGTATAGAAATGGGGATTAGAGGAAGAATGTATAGGATAATCAAACTATTTATAAGGAAACAAGGAACGCCATTATTTTACCAAGAGGATGATCAAATAAATTTTGGACTTAAAAAAAGGAGCGAGACAAGGATGTCTATTTTGCCCAGTATTATTTAGTATTTTTTATCAATAATTGAGAGGATGAATGTATCACAAGGAATATTGGAGGAACTGTTATTGGAAATTAAAAAAATAACTGATCTTAAATTCACAGATGACATTATTGCACTGGCTGACCACAGAAACTATAAGAGAGAAGTGGTTAAAGCATGCAAAAAATATGTGGAAAGAAATTATCTGGTTATTAATCTGGAAAAATTGAAGATGATGGTATTCCATAAAGTAGATAAGTGGACATACAATGGTCAGCCTATTGAGGTGGTCAACAAGTACAAGTACTTGGGAGTTTAGTTTTCTACAAAAAATATTCACACAGAACACATTAAGCAACAAAGTAGAAAGTCTCAAAGGATCATCAATACGGCATGTAATTTAATGAAGAAAAGTAGGATGCAAAAGTAGAACAAAGAGATATAATTTTTTAAAATAGAATGTTTTGTTGTATGGAGTGAAGCTTTGGACTGGAATGTGAATAAAGAGATTGAAAGATGCAAAAAAAATATATGAAGAGGATTTTAAGTTTAGACAAAAATACACCTGATTACTTGAGGAGAATGGAGGTGGGAGAGACAAGTTTGGTCAGAAAAAGTGTCAATTATGTTAGTACAATTTTGAAAATGATGGATGATAAATACCCAAAGATTTATTTGAAAGAGATGATGAAACTAACAGACTGTATTGAACAACTTACATGGCTCACTTGCTTTATCAAGAGGCTAAATCAGGTAGGAAGTGGTCAAGTGATTCAACTCACTAAGGAA